TACCTTGTAAAAAATACTTTTCAACTGTAAACCCATAGAATGCTACATAATTTCTTTTTTGGGGGTGGGGGTGGGGGGGGGGGTGGGGATAGGGGGCTTCTCTAAACATACTAATGTATCTGCACAAAAACAATATTTTAGGTTTATTGGTCCTAAGAAAACATCTTTGTAAAGAGGATTTCCATACAAAGGTTTACACTGTCCTGCCCCTTTAGCAAGAAACCGCTCTTGAAAAGTAATTACGAGGCTGCTAATGTGTGTGTGACGTACTCTGCTTTAGCATTGTTTTCCATACCACGCAGATATCTACATTGAAAGATAAAGTTGAGTTCTGGTCATGCGATTGCATTGTGAAAGAAACGGTGTGGAATTGACCAGAAAAGGTTGATCATCTAGCATATAAGAATTTGTGTGTATTGCAAGGTTCTGGAATCATCAAAATGATAAGAAATTTGGCCAAGTCTTGGTAAAGTTACAAACACTGTACACAGAAAGATGTATATGGGATTACACGAACATGTGGCGTAAAAATCCTACCCCCCGAGTTATACGATGTTACATGACATATTTAGAATTTGAAGGCATTTGAAGAGCCATGCTTTTCAGGGAACATGTCTTATCTGATGTTCTTCCACACTTGCATAATAAGAATGATAATGCTCACAATTTATTTTTCACCTCTTCCCAGAACTCAACTTTCTCTTTAATAATGTTAAGACAACAAACATTTGTTGTAGGAAAATTTGAAAGCAAACCTGACTCAAAAGATGCAAATATGTAACTCCCCCTTATTGTGTGTGTATGTGTGTGTGTGTGGAGGGGGGGGGGGGGGTTAAGGTGTAGTCTCTTGTAGTTCTAGGGCCCTGATAATATAAAGACTGCTTTAGAGGAATAAGGTCTCAAGAATTTAATGTCCTGTTTATGCAGGGGGGGGGGGAGGGGGGGAGTGATGCATTTCTTTTGAAGTTCGATCTGTTGCTCAATGAATAAGATGTGGTAGAAAAAGGGTCATTAAGGTCCAATGCCTCCTTATATTGGAGGGGGAACTTAGGAGGTGAACTTTTTTTATTTTTTTTTAATTTCTGAGTGCTTTGGTGGAAGAAAGCCACAAGAGTCCAACACAGCCAGAGTCTCCCAAAGAGTCTGACCCACCCAAGCTCCTGTAAATCCAGTCTTCCAATCTGAGGCCTCCTCAAATCCCTTAAATACATTAAAGAGCGGACCCCACTGTGCCAAAGCAGGGACCAGACAGATGGAGAGGTTGGTTGAGGTGTAATTGAACCTGGTTGGGTGTGGTACCACCTCTACGCGGTATGTCTGCTGAGAGCCAGAAGGGTGTTAACACTGTGTTAAAGTTATGTGTTAAAATCTTTCTGGCGCCAATCAGATGTCTTGATCTCGCAAATCCCTTAAATACACCAAAGACAGGACCCACTGTGCGGCCAGAGCAGGAACCATAGAGAAGGGGAGGTTGGTTTTAGCCTTTGGTGTAGTTCAACCTCCTAGGGTATGCTACCCACCTCTACAGTGAATGTCTGCTGATCGAGAGCCAGAAGGGTGTTAACACTGTGCTAAAGTTATGAGGTAAATCCCTTTTGGTTCCAAACAGATGTCTAGATCTCCCAAATCCCTTAAATACACCAAAGACAGGACCCCACTGTGCCAGGGCAGGGGCCTGACATGGACAGGTTGGGTGAGGGGTAATTGAACCTAGTTTAGTCTGGAACCCTTCTCTACCTCCATTCAGAGCCAGAAGGGTATTAACAACACAGTTCCTGGGGGCAATGTGTTCAAGAATGTTAAAATCCATCAATAAAAGGTTTGAATGGATTCTCAACAGGATGTATTTCAGTTGTTATTGTTATCATCAAGGTTAGTATGTGCACTATCTCCACTTTTTTTTTTTTTGGGGGGGGGGGGGGGGGGGTTCATTCTTCCAAGTGAGGGCACATAATGCACACACCAGGGATGCAAAAAAGAGGAAACTATTAGAAATGGCTTTCAAACAGTCAAAGTGCTAATATATTCTCTCCTGGGTACAGGATGGTAATTTAAGATGAAATGCCTAGCCACTAGGACATCAGTGTTGTAAGCAGGTCTATAACACCTAGATAATTAATCCGCTCTGTAGCACTTACAGCCTTTTCACACACAGCTAAAATTCTATAAACATGATTAGTATAAACGTGTTTGAAACGTGTTTAAACTAATCACGAGCCTTTCACACACAGAAATTTCGTTGCGATCGTTAATAGTTTCGTGATTAACTACTGCTCGTAAAATGCGCAGTAGTGCCATTGCGCATTGAAGGTCATGTCATATCAATCAAAGCGCACGCTCCATCCAGTTTAAACATGTTTAAACACAAATTTCCTTTCACACACAAAATGTCAAGCTCTCTAGATACGAATTTCGTATCTGCAGCCTGCTTTTAGGGGCGTATGCATCGCGACTTCGTATCTATCCCAACATCGTATAAACAATGTTCACACTGGGAAATTTTGTCTATAAACATGTTTAAAGCTGTTGAGTGATTCTAATCATCTCTAGATACGATGAATTTGAGCTGTGTGTGAAAAGGCTGTTATTCCACTTTCCCTCTAACATATCTACAAACTCTCTACTCTGAGTGGTTTTAATTTTCGACAGGTCAATTCTTGGCAGGACCTAAAATTTGACGGACCACATTTGGGGGATAAAAGGTAACCCAGGGTGATCAAGAACCCAATCAAACCGAGGAGATTTACCTGGATAAATACTCACAACAGGTTTGTTGTGGGTGGGGTCTGACTGACCATCAAGGTACGAGGTCTCTGGTTTCTTAAAGGGGTAATTACCCTGATTCTCTTCATGTTATTCCTCTGTTCATACGCTAACTTTGTATGTTCTTCTTCTTTCTCTCTTTTCCACATCTAGCTTCTGACTGAAAACTGTATGGTGTCTTTCTGTATCATACCACTGAACTCTCCAAAAGATTCATTGCAGCTGTGTTGACCATAGAATTTAGTTGCAGTTGTTAAATAGTGGGAGCAGAGGTCTTAATATTGGAAGCAGATTGAAGAAGAGTTAGTAGTAGGATAGCTAGAGATAAGCAGTAAACCCCAAACAATCCAATTTCCAAATAGGAAACGGCGGCGTAAGTTGATTCATGATGTCTTTTCTCACATCAAGCTGCAAGGAAGAGTGAATTTCACAAAGACAAAAGCAGAGAGAAACAAAAATCCCAAAATGTGAGGGGGAGCAGGGGTAGTCAATCTGAAGACATACCAAGGAGATTCGAGGCCGACAATTCACAAATCTCTAATGCATGCAGCCATCCTGTTGAGGAAGACAATGAAGTCGCAATGAATGAAGTACAGTGTATTAGATTTATAAAGACAAAAAACAAAGACAACAGAAGAAAAAAAATCATCATGGGGATTTGGAGGGGGGGGGGGGGTGGAGACGACAATGAATCTCAAGACCTAAATATCACTCTCATGTCCACAGCCATCTTGTTGGGGGATTGAGAAGACCATCTCGATTGGGGTAAGATGGAGTGTCGTTGACCTACATAAGTCAGACACAGAGCGCTGGAGCCAGGGACTAATGCGCCAATGGATGGCATAATAAAGAGACCCAACTGCGGTTGTCCAAACTCACTCCCAGGCCAGGGCTTGGTGTTTGGTTTACGGGTAAGACCCAGATGATAACTTTTGAGGTGTGCTTGGCTAAGCTGAGCTAAGCTGAGAAGGGCAAGACGATGGTGGCATAGAGGTTCTATACAACACAATAAGTGCTCAGCGGTCAATATCCTACACGAATCCTGCATGAATTCTTAGCTTCGACACTGGAGGAAACACTTTACCTAACCCTAAACCAAACGTGCAACCCAATTCGACCTTAACTCTAACCTTTAACTTGTTCCTTTGACAAAATAAAGCCTGGAGCGAACGTCACCGGTATAATTATAGGATCTATTTCATCAATAGAGTGATCAGACATTTATTCTGGGCATTATTTTGTCAAAGATATAACGCCAGGTTAGAGTTGAAATTGGGTTGTAGGTATAGTACAGATTTAAAGTCAGGTTTAGGTGAAGTGATTGGTCAAGGGTCGAAGTTCGGATTTTGGTTAGAGCAGAAATTTGAGCATGGAATGATTGTCACAACAGCGTGTGTCATACAACTAGGCTCCAAGTTCGGATTATCATTGAGTTTTAGGTTAGGTTAAAGGTCAAGTATTGGGTCAAGGGTTGAGGTTAAGAATCCCTTTAGTGCAGGAAACTGACCATATAGAGCGAATGTTGCCTGAGCTATCAAGAGGCATTGGCTTGAGTTAAGGTTTAAGTGGAGTTCTCTTATAATTATATACTTTTCTTGTAATTTGAATTGTCTGTGGGGGTCACCATTACCTCTATATAGGTCATGTTTACACCAAAGAACTATTAAAAAACAGGATGAACATAATGGTAGGAATTTATTCCTTGAAACGCAGCGCGCGTAACAGCTGCACTGCTAAAGCCAGGGTAATTATGCTGCATTATTGTAGAGCGCTTAGAGACTTCTGATAAAGTAAGTGTTAGGCGCTATATAAGCAAGGATTATTATTATTATGCATATCACGAAAGCCAGTAAAGGAATCTAGTTATACCAACTTGGATTAATAGTAACATACCTGTATTCATGGGGGTGTAGGACAGTGACCGCCACGCAAACCCTGGTTACACAAGTAATGTTCTTATTCTCTGTATGTTATAATTAAAATCGGCCCACACATACCGGTAATCCTCCCAATATCAAAAGAAATCCAATCCACACCCATACATTCTGAATTATCATATAATTCATTACCTTTGATTACCGTAAATCTCTGTGTATAAGACGCACCAGTGTATAAGACGCACCCCCGGCTTTGATTTTTTTCGGCGGCAAAAAAGTGCGTCTTATACACGGAGATTTACGGTAATACAAATTTTCAAAATACAATGTACAAATATGGCATTTTAAATCTATTGAGGCTATTTTTTAGTTAACATGTTTTAATCAATTATTTCTTCAAAATACATGAGGTGTAAAAAAAATGGAATTACGATAGAATGATAGAATGCCATAAATGGTTTAAAAGCATTTTTTTCAGCACAATCAAGTCAATATCTATTCGTTTTATGTATATGTAATTGTATGTACTACATCATCGACCTCTCACCATTACTTCCACACAGTTTCTTTTACAATTAATGCAGTCACATGATAGATACTCAGCTGAATTCTAAGAGAAAACCCTTCAAGAGAGAATGGCCATCATCAATTTATGTGTGATTTCATTACAAAACATAAATCTACTATAAATATCACACATTCCCATTATTCATGTAATATAAAAATAGAGATTACTTTAGATTTCTTGACATAGTTATGAAAATAAGTAATCAATTTTTGTTTTCTCAGCAGTCAATGTCACATTAAAAAGACCCTTCAAGTTGGCTTTCTAGTCACCTTTTACAATATATTTTTTAAAACAAATAATCCATCTCAATCACATATCATATCAATCTAATAATCATAAACATTCACTTTCCAGTCATGAATGCTTTTATATCCTAAGACTGTGAAAAACTGAGATACACACATCAACCATTGATCAAATTATTTGACCAATATGTGATGAGAAAATTGGACGTGGGTTGTTCGTTTCATAAGAGGGATACACCAAGAACACTTGCAAAGTCAAGTATTTATGCTTGACGACTTTCGTACGCTGGGTTTCTTTCATTGATGACATCTCCTTGTCTTTCAACCATGTCTGTAAAAGTACTTAATCAAGAAAATAGCAAGATATGTTATTTTGTACCTTGAGAGGATAATTACGTCGCAGTCGACATACTTGTACAGTAACGTGATAGCACATGTGATCAGTTACGCAGTCCTTCTCCGTGCCCACATGTTTTGCCATATAGTATCTCAAACACTCTTATACAAGTATTTCAATTTAAAATTATAAGAAATAAATTGAAATTGCTTGGAGCAAAATTTAAGAGGTTGAATTCAGATAAAGGTAAAAAATAAAATTAGTACCTTTCTTGGTTATTTTTTAAAAATTCCTATGCGGATGCACATGTGATCAGTTACGCAGTCCTTCTTCGTGCCCACATGTTTTTCCATACAGTATCTCAGGCACTCTTATACAAGTACTTCAATCTAAAATTACCGGTATAAGAAATCAATAGAATTTGCTTGGAACACAACATTTTCTTCATTGTTAAATTTCTTTCTTTTACAACATCTTTACAATAGCAAGATATGTTATTTTGTACCTTGAGAGGATAATTACGTCACAGTCGACATACTTGTACAGCAACGTGAAAGCACAAGTGATCAGTTACGCAGTCCCTCTCCGTGCCCACATGCCATGCCATACAGTATCTCAAGCACTCTTATACAAGTATTTCAATTTAAAATTATAAGAAGTTAATAGAATTTGCTTACACCCAACATATTCTTCAATGTTAAGTTTCTTTTATCCATGAATTCTTGCTTTCTCCAGGCAAAATTTAAGAGGTTGAATTCAGACATGGGTAAAAAGAAAATAAGTACCTTTCTTGTTTCTTTAAAAAATTCCTATGTGGATGAACGTCATAGTATAATTTCAAGTGATGAAGATTGCTCTGGAGTATTGAAGTACCCTTGTATTCTAATAAAGCTTAGGTATTCATGTAGTTAAACGTGTGGAGTCCCGTATACCCATATTCCTGTGCAGTGCTCTAACCATTTTTTAAATTTTCACTAAAATCAATTTTCTATCATTTTGATTGTTTAAAACATCATAATTCACGATTACATTTGTTTACTACATATTTAAACATTCCACATAACTTCTGGATAATTTCTTTTTATCACAAAGCAATTTTTTTCTTGCACGATCAGTATTTAACCACATACCATTATGTTGCCAAGTCATGGATGGTGCAATTGGCCATGCAATTCTAACCTGGCAGTGTTCCAATGATTTTAGCAACACTTTTTTCCGCTGCAACCATCTGTGTTTACAAAATACTTGGTCCCAAATTAGTATTATCATTTTTCTCACGGCTACTCCGCTTCAAATTTCCCTTCACCGATGTTTCATTGCCTGGGTCACCCAGCCCTCTATGTTCTGTCATTACCCATTACAGAGGTATTACTTGAGGATTCAATTATTTAATCCTACCCATTAAATACATAAGTCATGTTCACACAAGAGATTCCATGCACTGAAGTTTAGCACCTAGTTTTTTAAACTTTGAGGTTATCTCGTAGTCAAGGGCCGTGGGGATGCAGTCATTGTTTCAAAACATTAAGTTGAATTGAGGTTATAAAACATGAGCAATTGGGGTTTTTACTTGAAGTTTTCTGCAGTGCATAGAACTTTGAGATTTCACCGGCTTGCACATTTAGATACAAGGAAAGCTTGCTCAACTCGTTTAAAACTTTGAACATTCATTTTTTCGGTCCTGTGTGATTCCATGTCATTTAAAACTTTCAGCCTTCGCAAACTTGAAGTTTAAAACCACGTGTGAACAGAGCTATACATACACTACATCTGCACAGCAGCACAGAGAAAAGCTGCCAACTCCTAAGGACCCACTTGGTAGGGAAAACTGCATGATTGGTGCCTCGTCTGTCGCCCCAGGGGATGGATGCCCTTGAGAACACTGCAGGGGTGTGGAAGAGGGGACCGGAGTTTTGGGGCGGGGTGAATCCTGACAGCTTGCCCCCTAGTTGAACGTGTTTCCCTTGGTCAAGATGATGTTGCCGTAGATTGCAGTCTCCCTGTGTGTAGAGAGAGAGAGAGAGAGAAAGAGAAGACATGGTTATTGGATGGGCATTGTCTGGTTCTAAGGTATGATACAAGGTGTGGCATGGAATGTTGCGGGGTAATGTAGTGAGGTGTGGTATGGTATGGTACTATAAAGTATGCTGTGGTATGGTAAGGTAAAGTACGCCGTGGTATGTTGTGGTGTAGTATGGTGAAGTATGGTGCGGTGAGGTATGGTGTGGTGAGGTATGGTGTGGTGTGGTGTGGTGTGGTGTGGTGTGGTGTGGTGTGGTGTGGTGTGGTGTGGTGTGGTATGGTGAGGTTTGGTGTGGTATGGTGAGGTTTGGTGTGGTATGGTGTGGTGAGGTATGGTGTGGTGTGGTGTGGTGTGGTGTGGTGTGGTGTGGTGAGGTGCGGTGAGGTATGGTGAGGTATGGTGAGGTATGCTGTGTTATGGTGAGGTATGGTGTGGTATGGTATTGTGTGGTACGGTACTGTGAGGTGCAGTATAGTAGGGTATGGTGTGATTGGGTGTGGCATGGTATGGTATTTTTTGGTGTGCTATGGTATGGTATGGTAAGGTATGGTGTGGTAAGGTGTGGTAAGTATGGTGTGGTATAGTGTGGTGTGGCTTGGTTTAACAGTGTGATCTTGTACAGTATGGCATAGTGTATTATGGTATGGCATGATGTGGTAATGTGTGGAGTGGTATAGCATTGGTGTGGTGGTATGGTGTGGTGTGGTAGTGTGGTATCATATCGTCTTGTGAGGTCTGGTATGGTGTGGTATGATATTGCAGTGCACTGTATAAACATTATTGACATCATCAGTACTCTCTTTACAAAATCATATTAAAATCAAAGTTTTAGGCTAATCATACACAGATGATATAAAATACAACAAATTTTTATTCAGTACTCGATCCTCACCCCAAAGGACTGATGATTCCTCTACTAATAACAATAATAAAAACTATAATGAAAATAATCTTTGCTAACACATCTCGATGTTACACCATGTTGCGTTTCCAAAGTCTTGGTTATCTCTGGCAGTCTTGTATCACAACACAGTGCCTTTCAAGGAACAAATCCTACCAGGTACCCACTGAACACCTGGGTTGAGTAAACCAACTACAAACACATTGCCTCGACTGACTAAGGATACACATGTTGCAGGGCTTTGAACCTTAAACTTCCTGAATGAGAGTCAAATGAATAAACCCTATACCCCGAAGCTCTTCCCTTTAATTGAACTTGGCTCTGTCCGCTTACGATCATATGACAAGGGCATTGGCCAAGGAGAAAAACTAGACTTGATAAATAAGAGGCGCTGTGATTGCAAACAATCATTCTTAATCCTCACAATAGTTTCAATTCTACTTCATAATGAAAGCAATCTTTGAGCTCCACTATTCAATCAATCCATTGTACGTCCCTGTCCTAGCTAGCTGGCAAAGGCCAAATCTTTTCCCACCGTCTGCACTTGCTACCGGTACCCCTAATGAAAACATTACCTCATCTATGAAAAAACTTTGGGAAAATAATCCCATTAAATATCCCTTACTTCCATCGGCTAATCTAATTAGATTTCATCTTCTAGGATGTCAATGGGCGAACAAGTGATACTTGTATCTGGGGCGGTCGGGGTAGGGTGGCCCGGCCGCCTTGCCACCCGCTCCCTGCTCCGCCAAACAAAGTGCCATTATGGTGTTGGGTCCGCAAGATGTGAGTAAGGGATTGTGTTGCCTGTCAGTGGGAGGATCGAGGAGTCAAGATGGTTTAGATTTGATGGCGGCGACACTGCCGACGACGACACGCCAGTCGGAACCAAACAAACTTTCGACCCTCCTCCCAGTCAATCACACCCCCTCCTGCGACTGTCACGACAGAGCATGTCCCGCTTTTCAACAGAACAGGGGTAACTTTTCCCCCAGGTCTTTGATCTCTATTCTCTCTCCTCTCTCTCTTTTTCTATCTCCCTCTCTCTCTCTCTCTCTCTCTCTCTCTCTCTTTCTCTCTCTTTCTCTCTCTCTTTCTTTCTCTCTTTATCTTTCTCTTTCTTTCTCTTTTTTTTTCTCTCTTTCTCTGTCTATCTCTTTCCTTTTCTCTCTCTTTCCCTCCCTCTCTCTCTCTCTCTCTCTCTCTCTCTCTCCCTCTCATTACAAAATTGTTTCACAAGTGCCTCCATTCAACCTCTTTCCTGAGCCTGAGGTCCCCTCCTCTTTAAATTGTCTAATTGCTCTCTAAAGGTTCCCCATCACTGTGGTGTATTGTGCGTAGTTTCACTACCAGAACCCACTTTCATAATGATGTCCCAAAATATATTGGAAAAGTTAAAAGTAATGAAAGTCCCTCCTCCCCCATATCTTCAACAGAGTTTGCCCTGCATAGTTTCTCTATCTAAATACACTCCCAATAGCTTTCAAATTGAAATATTAAATTCATCAAGGGAAAGAGGATCCATGTGACGGGATGTGACACAACACATACCAACAGTGTATAATAATAATAATAATAATAGTCATATTTGTATAGCACTTAAAAACTTTGGAAAGTGGTAAATGTAAACAAAAGTCTTGCCAAAGGACTGTTTGGTGACATATCCATTGGACCACGACACCCCTACTGTATTAAAAAATTACTGGCCTACGCAATTTTATAAAGCAAACAAAAGGCAAAGAATGGATTACCACATTATTCATTCTCAATTTACATGAATTTCTTAAGTTTTGTTTGAATTGTTCATGATGGAAAAGGGTTGATGCAAAAGACTAATCCAGAAGGCAACAGGAGCTTCCTTTATGTACACCCCAAAGGCATGTTGTGATATGTCACTTACTCCTGTAATTACAAACAATAACTTGCACACTACAGCGGGGTCATGCAAGGTCAGTCAGGGTCAGGGGTCAAGTCCCATTAACTCCCTCTCCCCCCTTCCTCCCCCAGGCTATGATACTGCAATTCAAGACAGGTCTTTGTACTGTGATCTCTTTTCAATCGTGACGTTGGCTTTGAGGTTGACTCCAACCAAAAGGCATCTATTACGATGACCCCATTTTAAAAGTTGAAGTCTTAGGGACTAACCTAAATGTTTTGTTGATAACCATACAGTTAACAGAGCACAGACAGAGATTCTGAACAGCATGATTGAAGAGTCAGAGAGAGAGAGAGAGAGAGAGAGCGAGAGAGCGAGAGAGAAAGAGAATAAAAGTTGAAGATGAAAGGGAAAAAAGGACATAAAAACTCAACTTTTCAGAATTGCTTTCCAGTAGATCTAGATCTACTCGTATTTTCTTACTTATCTAATGCTATGGTCACATTACCCAAAAGTAGCCTGCTCGGCGGCCGAGCGGCGAGTTTTCAACCAATTCTGCCTGGCGGCTGCCCGGCCACCGAGCGGCGGCCGCCCAGGCACCGCTCGATTTTTTGGCATCGCTCGGTCGCTGCTGAAGTTTTAGCGCGGAGTTAAAATTTGGGCGGCGCCTGCTCACTGGGCGGTCGCTGCCCGGGCACCGATCTAATTGCTGGGCGATGCCTAAATTTCAGCAGTGACCGAGCAGGCTACTAATCGGTCGGTCGCCGCTCTGATTTGTGACCATAGCTTTACTATTGTATATTATGAAAACTCTATATCTTTGTAATTTGTTGTTATCATTATTATTATTAACAAGTACCAGTAAGAGAAATAAAGACAGAAAGAGGGGAAAGATAGAAAGAAGGAAAGAGAGAGAGAGAGAGAGAGAAAAGGTCATAAACATAAACATTATTATTGTTATTATTAAGAAGTAAGATGATATAAAGAAAGAGAAGATACAAAGAAAGAGAGATTAAGAGAAAGAAAGAAAGAAAGAGAGAGAAAGATAGAAAGAAGGAGAGAGAGAGAGAGAGAGAGAAAGGAAGAGAAAGATGTATATAACCTAAATGGGGGAAAAGGGCAGGGAATAGAAAAAAATAAAACAGAAATTTAAACATGGAAAGTTTGAAACACAGAGTTAGGCAGAGAAAATACATGTCATCACAAGTACCTCTTAAAAATCTCAAAATTTTCCATCACACCTACTTTTTCCATCATGCTATTTCAAAACACGGGAATCTGCCAACCAAATGTTTGCGTCGCTAAACGGCTAATCACCACGGTTCCCCGCATAAGTCAAATTGGCAATGCATGTACCCTGCTGTGGTCAGGGTGGGAGATGGAGGTTTGCTCAATTCTAACCTCCAGGATTATGAGATTTGATGTGGAACAGAGCCATACTATTGCATCAGGTAGCAATTGTTTCAGGATATATCACATTAAGGGAAAATACCTGTAGTAAGCCATAGTACTTACGAGTTACGAGGGAGATGACTTTCAGCATGTCCCCAAACTTTTGACATGGACATATAGCTGCATTGTGTGATCAAAAGTCTTAAACTTGTTTCCAAGATCTATCTGTATTTATGTTCTCAATTTGTTTTGTTACCTATTGTAATATTCAGGTATAGATTAATTTGCTAATTGTTTTACATTTTCTTTTGATCTACACCAATGAAATTATTCTAGCCTATATGAGAGTGATCGATACACTAAATGGTCACACTATTTATAGACTGTGCAATAGTTCAATAAATATGAATAATTAAAAATAGAGTATAAAAATAACTTGGGGAAAATGAAATGTATCATAATCATCACATGGGTGGGATGTAATAAAACAAATATGAAAACCATGTATGCAAACATTTAGATTTGGTCGTTTGATTATACCTAATGGTAAATTAACATCTGAAAGCCAAATGTCTGGTCATAAAACTCAATTACGGGACAGATCTGAGATCCGGGATCTGCCCCTGAATTGTAAAGCAGAGGGGGGGGGGGGGGGGTGCGCTGGGATTCAATCGATTGTTTGGTAATCAGAAGAAAATACAAAAAAAATATTAAATTTTATCTGTATCACATTCTTCTGGTGCAAGGGGTAACGTTTTGTCATGGTTATGCACCTGGAATGTGTAAGTTTGGTTTGAAAGATGGGCAC